ATATTTCTATATACTGATGCAAATTATGATGCATGAAAATGTAGACTGGAAACAGTGATATAAATAGGGCTAGGAATATTTCCCGTGCATTCTCGTATAAAATGCGAAATTTAATTGTCTATTTCCAGCATTTGTTTGTTATTTTCTCCTATTACTATTGGAGTATTTTTTTGAAAATGTGTGTCATCGCAGGTTTTTCATTAATAAATATTTTGATTTGTTCCTATGATGTTGGAGCATAACGATTCGGGATTAACTCATTGCATGACAGTTTATCTATCAATAATTTATTTTATGCTGATTGTATCATGGACATGTTTATCAAACAATTTACGACTGTTGTTGATTATAATGATATAGTTACGTTGTTAAAATAATTCTTTATTCGTTTAGCTACACATAACATTTTCTTCATTATTGTTGTGTAAGATACATTTGTTTCGTGTGTCATTGTAATGATCCTCTCTTATATTTTTGAAAGCAAATATATTAATTACATCGATATAGCGAAAAGTCTAAAATTACATTACACTTAAAGAAAAAATTTTTCTATATTAAATATTTAAAGTATAAAAAGTTAAAAATTTTTTAACTATTATTTTCAATTCCGAACATAATATATGATAAGCAGACAGGTTATTTAAAATAATATTATCATAATATATGCAACAACGCATATTGTTATTTCCATGTATGACATCGTCAGAAAATAAATAAATTTTATCAAAAATTTTCCGGATTTTTACATTATAGCGCAAAATAAAATTTACTATAGTGGTATCCGTAATAACATTTTACGAATATAAAATTGCTGAAGAACTTTGAACAATGAAAGAAGCGCTTAATTAAAGCGTAAAACGCTGAATAATTTTTTCATTGTTTATGAATTTCTTGTAATTCTGATTAAGTTAGCTTTTCTATTAAGTGTTCTTTTCTGAAGATCCATCCGATATTCTATATAACCGATATTCTATGTAAATAATTTTGTAAATAAATTTAGAAAGAAATTGTATTTTTTTTGTTATAAATATTTAATAGCTTTTTTAATATCTTTGTAATTTATTATAAAGGTTCTCACAATTTATCTCATTTAATGAATTTATGAGAAAAATTTTATCGAAAATTTGCTTAAAAACTGTAATTTATTTGTTTTCACATTGTTAAATAAGTTATTGCAATGTTAAATTTCAAATACTTCCATTGAAAAATTTCAAAAATATGCACTTCAAAAATATACACAAAGATCGATGTGTTTTTCTTTGTGTTTTCAAATCGACCAATAATATCTTTGTTTTTCCTCATTGATAAAATCAATACATATTTGTATTGCTCATCCTTCAATAAATATCATGTCATTTGATTGAAGTTTGATTGTAAATAAAATGTTTAATTGACAAACAAGTGCATTTATATATTTATATACTTATATATTGTAAATTGCTACATAATACTACATTGTCATATTTGTTACTTAATATCTTTGTTTTTTTACAAATATTAAGTATTGTTTTTTTTCTTTAAATATTTCTTAATATAATATCTATTATTAAGATAAAATGTAATGATTTATAGACAGAAAATGTTGCAGTCGAGATAAAATTAATTAAAGAATTAACTGTAATTAATTCTTTAATTATAAGCGGTTGACAATGATAATTTTTTTACAAATATATTTTTTGTTTTAATAGTACAAAGATTTTACCATCTAAATAAAAATAGATCTTACTATTTCATTTTAAAAAAGATTTTAATTAAAAAAAGATTATGTTATAAAATTAAAAAAAGATTATGTTATACCATATAAATATTTAATATTTTTATAATTTAAATAAAGACTTAAATTAATATTGATTGTTACTACATTTTCTCTTCACAGAACGTCTCACAGTAAAAGAATGTCTCGGAGTAAAAAAGAACACATATAAGAAAAATGTTAATAAATTCCAGTTGGTATACCATTCGCACGAATTACGCGACATTCGTGCTAATCAAATATTTATAGTCTGTTGAACAGCTTTACTGGCAAAATATTTGGCAAAATTATTTTTAGATCTGCTGATTAAATTTTTAGATATTTCAGCAAAATCGTTTTTTCTGTATATATCGCGGTATCGAATTGTTCGATCAATGAGTTTTTTTTCAATATTTTTAATAACTAATACCTAGTACAAATAATTAATTTTTATCGTCATGTATATGCATGCTGTATCCTCGATTCATTAACATCCAAACTGATTTTAAATCCGCCTCCTGTACGTGCTCCTTTAGTTTTTCCGCCATTAAGCCGCCACGATCAAGCCTCGATTATTCGAATTGTATCGCCATCGTTATAGCGCTATATATGCAGTAAGAGGAATTAGTTGCGTATCAGGGCTTATTGTTAAAGCAAATTAATCCCATTCAATGCCAACGTGTGTGCGACGCATATATCTTACTTAATCATAGGTTAGTGCTTTCTATGGATATTGATATTTTGAGATGTTGCTATATATTTCGCTATCTTTCCTTAGCATAATATCAAGATAATTATACATTCCTTATATATTAGTGAATTATAATATAAAAAACAATGCCATAAATCAACATGATTTTACTGTACAGCCAATATTTGTTATTGTTATTTATAAGAATAATTTATTTTTAGAAATGTACAGAATTTAATAATTGACGGACAAGATATTTTAGTCTTGAAATAGTCTGCTATATTCGTGTTTTTCATTTGATCATTTAAATTCGGAAACGTACGTTTGTTAAGATAACATTTCATTTTTAAGAATATCATAATTGATAAATTATTCTAATTTTCTCAGAAAAAAGATTCTAAAGTTCTCATATATCTTACGAATTGATATTGTAAGTTTTTAATAAACAAGATGATCCCATTATGTTTGATAAAACTAATGTTTAATTAAATTGAACATTATTGAATTGAATAATTGTTGTATATTAACAATTGGCATTGATTATTATATTATTTGTAATCATATATATATATATATATATATATATATATAT